GGGTAGAAATGGACAAAACAACTTTTATCAGATACTTCTTAGTTACGTTAAGCACACTGGCCCTTAGCTGGACATTTGGCAATGACTGCACAGCTCCTGATTCAGAGGCAAACACATAATAAATGCCAGGCAAACACATAGCTTTATTAATTATCAAAAACAATTATGATTAGTTACTCTAACAACAACTTTAATAGTGACCCAGGAATGTTATGATCCACCCTTTTGTTACATAATTCCATAAAGAAAGCAGAGATAGTTTATGCATAGCTACCTAGTGTATACGTGAGGCCACACACACGCACATGCACACACACACACACACACACACACACACACACACACACATATCTACAACATGTATTTTAAATCACAGCTTTGTTCTCATGAGTAAATATTTCCCCATTCTGACATTTTAGAAAAGGAACTCCTGGATTCTGGAACAGGAAGTAAGATTAGATACCAATGCAATTTTTAAAAAGTGCATTAGATTTTTAATGATAACATGTTTGGAAATGTATGTGAATAGTTCAAGTGGAAATACAGGAGCTTTAGAAGAGGTGAAAAAATATATTCTTTTAGATTCTTTCAAAAAATATTTTTTTAAAAAACGTTTTTGTTGCAGTAAGATTTTCTAGGGCAGTGATGGCGAATCTTTTAGAGACTGAGTTGGCCAAACTGCAATGCAAAACCCACTTATGCCTCATCGGGTGCTGGGTGGGTGTGGCCCATTGGGTGGGCGTGGCTGCGGTGGTAACAGCAGACTGGGTGGGACTAAAAAGTTAAATCAATCATGATTGATTGAGCCCTTTTTTTTTGTACACGGCGGCAGAGGCCTAAAGCGAAAAGATTTTATAAAACTCAGCTGAAGGCCTAGGACTGGGGCGACAGTGCGCGTGCCCACAGAGAGGGCTCTGAGTGCTGCCTCTGGCACCCGTGCCATAGGTTAGCCACCACTGTTCTAGGGCATTGGCAAATGCAAAGGATTACTATAATAAGTGCCTAAAGGGGAAGTATGTTGTTGAAGAGGACTGGACCTTTGTTTATTTATTTATTAATCAAATGTATATAACTGCCCATCTCACAAGGGTAACTTGGGACAGCACTCAACAAACTTGGTTGAAATTAATTGTGCATACACATCCTAGGAAATTCTCATCTGAATATAACAGAGTTCGAAGGGACCTTGAAGGTATTTTAGTCCAACCTCTTACTTAAGCAGGAGACCCTATACCATTTCAGACAAGGGGCTGTCTAGTCTCTTTTTAAAAACCTCCAGTGATGAAGTACACACAACTTCTGAAGGCAAGCCCTTCCACTGTCAGTAAAATTCTCCTTAGTTCCAGGTTGCTTCTCTCTTTGATTAGTTTCCATCCATTGTTTCTTCTGGTGTTTTGGAAAATAGGTTGAACCCCTCTTCTTTGTGGCAGCCCCTCAAATATTGGAACATTGCTATCATGTCACCCCTCGTCCTTTGTTTCCCTAGAGTAGACGTACCCAATTCTTTTATATTAATATATCAGCATATCAGTCTAAGCATCTTCCCAGACTGTAGGATCTTATCTGAGTTGAAAGTTTTCTCTGTTTTTAAATCAGCACAAATAATATTGGGATACATGTTGCCGACCTGCACCTCCCTTCTATAATTACTCCTTTTTGTGTTACTAGATGACAAAAGTTGATAGGTTTTATATATAGCTTGAGGGTGGCATTGGCATTGTTGGAATAATAGAGAAAAGTTTACTTTAACACTGGTACAGCTAAAAATGATTTGAGCCTCTTTCACTCATGTACTGGAGAGGAGCTGAAGACCCCAATGGCCTGGGGTCTCCATAGAAAAGCATGTTGGTTCCATAATTAAATGTAAAGTGGAGAAAGACCTGGGATTTTAGCTTGGTATTTCTGGAAACCCACAGGCTAAAACCATAAAAAGCATCTGTAATAAAATACTTATCAAGTGCTAGGCAATGATATAAAAATGGTAAAGACTTCCATTTCCCTAGCAACAGAGTGCCTAAATACTCTTTTTGTTGCTGTATCGTGTAGCTATGATATTTGGGAGAAAAAGACCCATTGGGGCTTACATTTAAAAATGTACAGTTCCATCTGTAATTTCCCTCACCTCATCCTGAAAAAAAACCCCTAAGTTAACATCTTTGTTTCTTACATATAATAGTTGGTTATTTGCCATATTAGCTGATTACAGAAGTGATAGTCTGCCACATCTTGAGGGCAAGAATTTGGGAAATCTAATGAGAATCTACCTTGAGTGTAGTTAAATTCCTTGAAAGTCCCTTATATTCTGACTTACAAGGCAATAAAGACCTTAGACTGAAGATAGATGTACAGGTTATGGTTCCTTCTTGAGATCGTTTCCTCATGAATCATTTGCAGAAGAAATGGGTAAAGTCTCCTGCAAGACTGGATTTTGTTTTTCCTGAACCAAGTTCATTGGGGCAGCCTCTGGAATGGGAGGAGATTGTGAGTCAGCTGTAGGTGCTGAGCAAAAGGTAGTATTTCCCTGCCTTTCACTTTCAAAGATTCCTTTCCCATGGGCTGCCTGTGAGGTGGCAAACCCAGATGACTCTGCTTGCGGTTGAGCAAAGGGTCTGTTCTATGTGCTCAAAACTCTGAAGAGTGAACTGTAGCTTCCCGTAGCAAAGGCTTGGCCGGCTTCCTGAAATTAAGGAGGTAAGTTTAGGATATGTCTGAGGAACAGACTGCTTGCAATATTGGAATGAAAATTTCAGTTGCTCATGCAACTGCAAAATGAGATTCTGGAACTGGAGAGCAGAAGATAGGAAAAGGCATTCTTAAGATGGGAAAGAAGAAACGTTGGCCCAGATGTGGAAGGTTTCATCCATTAGAGCGGAAATAGTGGTGAACTGGATGCAAGTTCAAAGCAGTGGTGGCTGCCTTTAGATCCCTGATGGTTTCTGCCCATTTCAGCAGAATGGGAATGCTCCAGTTCCACCGGTGAAGCAGTGTCACTTGGGGGTTTCTAGCAAAGGGGTCTTTTCTGTTCATGCCACCTGATTTAATGCAACAGCCCCCCCCCCTGATATGGCAACCCCTTCAGCTTTCTGGAAGGCTGGAAAGACCCAGCTTTTCTCTAGGATCTGGGACCAGGATATTAATAGGATGCTATCATATTGTGGCTATGTTGACATGTTAGTAAGAAAACCTTTAGGGAACCGCAAGTTAAGGATTTTTTAAAATGGTTTTGTATGTTTTGCTTCGTGCTTTTACCTCTATTGGAAAGTGGTAACCTTAGCTGGAAATCTCGTTCCAAATCCTCCATATCCTTCATTTGGATGGGGAAAATCTGAAGGAAGCATCTATATCTCCTCGAATAGATGTGGACATTTTTATCAGAATGGGATTGCTCTTAAAAAGGAACCTCTGGTTGGTTATGCAGTGGCTTTTGTCTCCAGTCAAGCAAATATAATTAGCATCGTGCCTTTGCCCTCTCACTTCGAAACTTGGGAGGTGAGGAGTAGGGAGTTACAAGTAAGGGGTGAGCAATTGTCTCCTTTCCCACTTTTAGCTTTGTGTGAGCTTGCTGAATTCCTTTGATCAGCTCTGAGGTTGCAGGGAATCTTATCTGGAAATGTAATTTGGAGCAGAGGTCATTTTAGGCTGTTTTATTGTTACTTTCCCTGTGGCTCTTTAGAAAATTTGCTGAGGCAAAGTGTAGCATTCCAGCAGTGTGCAGTCAGAGTTAAGCTTTCTAGGAGTACACAGCATGCTTAATTTTAGAATAAGCAATCTGTGATTTACATCACAATACAGTCTGCCCATAAGAAAACATTTTCCATTATCCTAAATGGGGAATGGATTATAGTTGCTCAGTGAGAAGGGGAAAAGGTTTTTTGGCATTGGTCTTGCAAACCAATTTTGAAACCAAGCTCTGGATAGCTCAAGTCACAAATGACAACCAAAATATGTCCTAATGACACCCCGCAGAACAGTGGGAATTCCAAGGAACAATAATCCTTAAATGTCAACTTCAACTTCTACTCAATCCTGAACTGAGAGATTTTGGCACCTGTAGTGACTGTAGAAACTTAACCTAGATTGGTTGATTGGAAATCTGTAAACTGAATGTTCTTTATGGAACAAGAAAAACCTTGCAACGTTCAATAGCGGTATGTCTGCCAGCTTCTTGAGTTTTAAAAAATTGTATACGGAAAGTAAATACTAACTTATATGCATGGGAAATTGTCTGGGAAAGCAGGAACAGGGAAATCATAAAGGAGTAAAAGAGTTAAAAATTCTGTAATGAGTCATTTTGGAAACACAGAATATTACTGACAAGGGTAAGTACTATCCCAACGAATCACAACATCAACCCAGATACACATCTTCTTTGAAGAGGGAAATAAATGCTAGCCTTGGATTTGTAGTCCAGTCTTAAGAGAAAAATCCCTCTTTTTTTGAAAAGAACCCCCCCACACACACACACACACCATCTCTTAAATTGAATTATTGTAAAGGTTGAAGATAGCAGAAAAGAGGGGTCAGAAGGGTCTGGAGTATGTTCTATGTGATGGGGATTCTATTTCATGGGGAAAGAGACAATTTGGGAAGGGGTACAATAGATTTGATAGATTTATCCCTACTATAGAAAAAAATGAATTACTTTATAAAACACTGGGTATTCTCCAGAGCAATCCCCAAATGGGACAGTTTTCTTATCTCCACTTAAGGGAATAGGACCTTAAGGGGCAGAAAGCAGCTCTCTCTGAGAGTGGTCTAGAAGATTTCTCATACAAAAGCTAGAAGAGGCAGAAGACCTGTTCTTCCATCTCCCTGTGTAGCATAAATCTTTTTCAGGTGCCTTCCCACCACAAACAAAGAGAAATGGCTTTTTTGAAAGTGCAGAATGGAGTCACATCAGGCAGTCATATTTGAGGAATTGTCCAGGTCTATGTTGAAGTAAAAAAAAATGAGCAAATGCTTTTCTGATACCATTTTCTACTTTGGACCATTTTCTGCAGGACTTAGAGCCGCTTCTGAACGAGGACACCAACCTTATGCTCCACCTTCAGCGCTTCGAGAACACGCTCAGTCTTTTCGCTGAGGAGTCTGACAAAACCCAGCTTTTTGCCCATCTGGGCCGCATGGCTCTGGAGTTTAACCGCCTGGCCTCCAAAGTGCACAAGAACGAGCAGAGGACATCTATTCTTCAGGTCCGAGGGCTGCTGGTAGATGTGCACAATTCATTTGCTTCTCTGTATTCCTGAGTTCTCATCTTTGTCTTTTTTTTTTTTTTCCTTTCCCCCCCAATTCCACTGAGTGGCCATAACAGATGGGGTACAGGTCATCTCGTAAAAATATTTCCTATGCACCCAACCATAGTATATCATCCCAGGTCAACTGGTTTCATCGTGCATGTTATGGCCTTTTACTTTTTTTTCTCATTCTTTTATTTCTGTGACATCCTTAATACTGCTCTCTTCCTTTCATCTTTTGGGCAAATGAGTAAAATCCTTTTGGTCCAGTTTTATTGCTCCCATTTTAAGCTTAGATTTCCATTTGCCTTTTATGAGCTCATGCTGGGTAGAGACTTTATTGCAAACTCTGTAACTACTCAAAATCACTTTGTCATGCATGGTGGCATTCCATTGTCCTAAAGCAGTTCCTGCCATAAATAATCACTTGTCATTTAAAGACTCCCTGACCCCAATTAGGAAACATAAAGGTATTCCTTTGTTCATTCTTTCCTTAAGTGTCAGTTTCCAACAAGGATACCAAACTTTCAAAGGATATAAGACGTGGCCTTTGTCAGGCAGATCTTTAAAGCATCAGAAAAACTTTTTCCCCCCCAGGTACAAACTGATCAGTAAAGCCTCTGGCTGAAAAGAGAAAGAATATTTCCTTGGCAGTGACATACACTTTTTATTAGTAAAATGTGCAGGGGAAATTGTGTCACCTCTGAAAATGATGGTTATCCTTTTTTCTGAGAAATTCTCTCTGAAGCTGCTTTGACATGGTTTTGCTCATATCACTTATTTTAGCAATAACTAGCCCATAGGGATGAAATGGGCAAGCTAGGCCAAGGAAGGGCAGAAGAAACCATATCCCTTTGAAGTCAATGAAAATGTTTCTCTTATTATAAAAACAATTATATATATTCAGGAGGGGTAGAATTCCATTATGGGATCCTAGCAAATACAGAAAGTTTCTCTTATCAGAGATGGATTGAACCCTGTTCTTTCTTCCTGTCCAAGGTTTTCATAATATTAGAGGCAACCAATATAGCATAAAGTGTATACAGTTGTATATACATTTATTTGCAATCACAACAGTCCATAACAGTTCAGTACACTCCCTTTAAGATTAATTAAGATCAAGTATAGTATAAAGTGTATCTTTCAATAATTATTTGTAAGAACTGCTTGGGATTTTATATTCTCAAATTTTAATATTTGATAAAAAATAAACATATATATATGCAAGACGTCTATGCTATTCTTTAATAGCATTCTGTGGAGAGAGGTTTTTTCCACGGACCGGAGGGTGTGTGGTTTTGGGTGCTGCCTGCATCTTGCGGATAGGGCTTTGCTTGTTTGTACGGACTGGTTGCTAGCATGCCGTGGCCCAATACTGGTCCACGGACCGGGGGTTGTGGACCCCTGCTTTAAAGGAGATTAACTTCACATAGACGTTTGCTGCTTTCGTGAGTAACAGAGACATGTCATGCTTTCATGAGATCTGAAGCACTTCAGGATTTTTGAAGCATGTACAATCTTAATATTTAGTGATGGTATCCAGTTAGAACTGAGAAGATCCAATTCCTATCAGTTACTGTAAATGAAATTTGACTCTTCACTATTTCTCAGTTCCATTTTGAGGTTCTTAGGGGTGAGGTGTGAACTGAAAGAATCCAGTTGGATATTTGTGTCAACATTTGAAAAAAGAGGTGGTGAGGTTAGTGCTTAATTCAGAGTAAAAGATAGACAGGTGGCTTCTTGCTGGAAGCTTTTTGAAAATATTTAAACCATTCAATGTTTTCATCAGACCTAAACAAATCCATATCTCTGTACAATCCTACCCCGTACTATTTTAGAAGATCTGTCCTCCATGCTCTGATGTCAGAGTGCAATACATGACTACTAAGATTTCTTAGCATTGGTGCCTCTGTGAAATGAGCCTCTTTCCAAAGAGGCTATTTCATTGGATAGTTTTGTTCTCTCCAGCCCTTGGATGCTTTATTGTGTCACAGAGATGTTTTTAACTAACCATATCTTTGCAGTCTAGCAATTTTTCCGATTATTTAAAGTGTTTATTCCATTTATGTTTTTGTTATGTATGTTATACTGCTGTTTTAAATTACATGTATAGATGCAGATTTAAAAAAGCCATTTTGTTTGAGCAGTGTTTTTATTTATGAAATAAAAACCATAGATGAAATATATAGGTGGTGGCACAGTGGTTAGAATGCAGTATTGCAGGTTAGTTCTGTCAACTGGCAGCAGTTTGATCCTGACTGGCTCAAGGTTGACTCAGCCTTGAATGGAATGGAATGGAGTGGAGTGGAGTGGAGTGGAGGAGTGGAGTGGAGTGGAGTGGAGTAGAGTAGAGTAGAGTAGAATAGAACTTTATTGTCACTTTGAATGTACACTAATTGGCATACATTAAAATGAAATTTTGTTGCATTCAGCTCTCAGACTCAGAGGGTCCTTCCATCCTTCCGAGGTTGGTAAAATGAGGACCCAGATTGCTGGTGGCAATATGCTGATTCTGTAAACCGCTTAGAGAGTTCTGTAAAGAACTATGAAGTGCTGTATCAGTCTAGGTGCTATTGCTATGTGGTTCAGCAAATATTCAAATGACTCTTAAGAAATATGGTACAATGCATGTCTCTTTCTTTCTTTCTTTCTTTCTTTCTTTCTTTCTTTCTTTCTTCCTTCCTTCCTTCCTTCCTTCCTTCCTTCCTTCTTTCTTTCTTTGCTGTATCTCTCTCAATTTCTCTTTTTCCTTCAAACAGACATTGTGTGAACAATTACGGAATGAAAATGAGGAGCTGAGGACAAAGTTGGAGAGGGAACTAGAGCAAAGGAACGAGATATCAGAGAAACTAAGGTGAGTGACCATCAGGAGGGGAAAAGAATATGTTGGTGAGCAAGCATACAACTGGGGAAAAGGAAAAAGTCTCCTATCTTGGAGTAGATACATTAGTGCTACTACACATGTTGATTCTAGTATCAACTTTATTCTTTAATCTACTTTAATCTACCTGATAGGAAGGAGCAGCAATGTGGCCAGTACTCTACAGAAAAAGTTACAATGGTGGGAAACCCCAGGGAGTGATAAGGGAATTTCCATATATTGCAGGGTGCAGAATGAGTCTAAACATTGGTCCAAACCATTTATGTACTTAATGAGGGAAAGGCCAGAAAAACAGGTAAAGCTTAGAAGACAATTGTGAGGACCTTCCTCTTGAATGCTAGTTTACTTAGCTTACATAGGGTAGCATAAAACTATGCCCACAAGTCCCAAAGAAAAAGAGCCTAGCACTAGCAGTGGCCTGTTTGGATTGGGCATCTCACTTGGTTAAGAAAAATCTTTCCTAACCCAGAACTTTTTGTGAAAGATCAGAATAGCTCATGGAGAAATATTTTTCTTCCTTCCCAATGAAGCTAGGTACTGGCTCACATGTTCTCCCTTACCAAAAAGAAATGGCTTTCCTTTCATAAGAGTTATTATGATCTGTGAGATCTTTCAGAAAAAAATGGATTTTCGATTTGCAGGTCTTTAAAAGATTGTCATTAGAAACAGAGGCACAAGGTTTATTTTCACAGTTGTGAAAATGCTTGAGAATTACTAAAACAGCTTGATCCAGAGCATCAGGAGCCTTCCTTACTTTTGATAGAGACTATATTGTTGTCCTTTGTTTTTAGTTCCACAGATATCATTTGTATCCTGCTGGCTTCAGCTAATAAAAGTGAAGCTTTTCTGAATACTCTATCCCAGTGATGGCGAATCTTTTAGAGACCAAGTGCCCAAAAACTGGCCCCGGCCCCGTTCCACCCCCTGCTCCGCCCCCACCCTGCCTGCCTGTAGGGCCACTCACCACCTCCAGGGCCCACTGCAGATTGCCCCGGCAGCCCAGCAGCGCCATGGCGGCCATGCCCTTTGCCCGCACCCCACAGCATCAACTGTGCATGATGGGTGTGAGGGCAGAATCTTATCAACACTGCCTGGTTGCCATGTCCTTGGCTACGGTGCTCTGTGTGGGCCACACTCGGGGGCTACCCTCCTCCAGGGGGGCTGCTGATGAGGAGGGGGTCGTGGGGAGAGGCAAGGCTGGGGAAAAGGCACGTATGCCCATAGAGAGGGCTCCGAGTGCCGCCTCTGGCACGCGTGCCATAGGTTCGCCACCACAGCTCTATCCTCAATATCATGATTATTCCAGTCCAGACCTTATCTTTTAGCTAGAATTGTGGGGTGATAATTGCATCTGCTTTGTAAAAAGCCATGTATTTAATTCTCCAGTAGATGGTGCCCTTGATACCTAGTTCTAATATGAATTCTACGCTCCCTGGGCAACCTATGTTCTAGGATTGAGTTAGCTCTCAAGCAGGGGATAAGAGAACTATTTTGCTCTGCCATAGATCCTGTTCATGTTATAATGCAGTCCATTAGCTGCTTGGACAAGAATGGACAACTTGTTCTAGCTCAGTTTCTAAATCAAAATCAAACTCTGTTTCAAACCAGTTAATGTAGCCTTAAATTCACAGTATGGTATGCATATATGTGGAATTATGTATCTTATTTCATTTTTTTTTCTTTCTTAGATTGATATCCTGCCTTTCCAGCAGTAGTTTAAAATAACATATAGAATCATAACAATGTTTCTGGGGTTATTTTCTTATAATAAAAATTGAGAGGGTATTGTTTTATTCTTTAGGCGGTATTAGAATTGTTATAGATTAATTCGGTAAGAATTGTTCTTAAAGTTACATAGAATCCAGCAAGGACAAAAACAAATGGAGAATTCATATTGAAGAACAACCCCACTAATTCTGTACTAATTTAGACTGGTAATTTCCCTACCGTTGAAAAGAAAGATATTTGGTTGTTCAACCCACTGAGAAAAATAACTCAAGAGCAGCTCTCTGCTTGACCTATCTATAGGGATGCATGGACATACAGAGGGAGAGAAGAATTAGATAGCATTTCAAAAATAAAAATAAGCAAAGGTCAGAAGAAAGATATATTTTAAAAATAAAAAAATTGACACTTTAATATTTCCTGCTGAGCTATGTTAAAGTGCAACTCTAGTATCATAAATACTAAACCAGTATCGTAAATACTGGTTGATTGTATTTGTGCACATATATAGATGTTATGTATGCTAATCCTTTTGTTAATTTAGTAGCAAATATCATATCCTCCATAAGTGTCTTTCTTTCAAAAGTTGGATTGCTCCTGATTAATAAAGTTGATCCCTATTCAGTGGTGGGATTCAGCCAGTTTGGCAGATCCGGTAGCTAAATTTTTGTTACCCAGGCCCAGAATGGACTTCCGGAAGCGGCATCCACACAGAGAACCGGTTGTTCACATATTTGAATCCCACCACTGCCCCTATTACTACCATTTCATTGCTGAGGGAAGAGCGAAATCACAACATTCCATTTAAAAATAGTTTCTGAAAGATAATTACGGCTTTTTTTCCCTCTGACTCATTATAGATATTTTGAGCATGTTTTTGGCCATGCAAAATAGAAATCTAACAAATAGTATGGTGCTATTTTGGGGAGATGTTCCATGATAGGGGAAAACATAAGCATATATCAAGAATGTAAGGAGATAGGGCTAAATCAGACCAAAGGATTGTCTCCTCCAGCATCCTAGCTATGTCCTCTAAATATTCCATGTCAAAACTCATCAGCAGGAAGTAAAGAATATATTCTTCTACTCATTTACACTGAATGGTATTTGGAGGCAGGTTGCCTGTGATTGTTGCCCAGTATAATTATCTTTATCCTCAGTGAAATGATCTAATTTAATTATTAGATTATTTTGGTCCCTGAGCTTTAAAGTAAATCTTATTCTGAATGATGGCTACTGTGACAGCTGCCTTTACATATTTTTCTGCAAACCTAAAATAATAATGATTGATGATGATGATGATGATAATGATGACAATGACGATGATGACTTTCTAATGTAGGTGTGAGAATCTGGAACTCAGAAAGATGGTGATGATGGGAAGTAAGGAAAGTGTGAAAGCAGAAAATACAGAATATGCTGGCCAGCAACAGGTAAGAAGTTTTTAGCCTAGATTGGATCGCTATCCTGTGCCATATGCTGATAACATTTAGCCTGAAACTGCTTGGAAAGTATCTCTCAGTAATGTGAGCCTAGCTATATCTGAAAGTAAGGGATAGATTAAAAAAATCAAAAGTAACATGTATTTAAAACTGAAGGAAGAACATAATCTTAGCTTAAACATCAAATTATCATATATTTTTCATCTTTTGACACAATGGTGCATGGGTGTGTGATAGAATGTATCTGGAATGTAACTTCTGTAATTTTAAGAAAAAATGCATAACGTATTTACTAAATGTATATGCAGACAGATTCAGGATCAGCTCCCAGGGGTTTGCAATAAATAACAGATAAAATCAAAATAAAAGAATAATATCTTAAATTATGTTGTTGTTAGTTGTGAAATCGTGTCCGACCCATCGTGACCCTGTTCCTCCACGCCTTCCTGTCCTCTATCATCTTCTGGAGTCCATTTAAGCTCACGCCTATTGCTTCAGTGACTCCATCCAGTCACCTCATTCTCTGTCGTCGCCTTCTTCTATTGCCCTCAATCTTTCCCAGCATTAGGCTCTTCTCCAGTGAGTCCTGCTAGTAGTTGCTAGTAGCTATAGATTCCTAAGATATCTGCATCATTACTCTGTCACAAATACTTTAAGGCTCTGGATCTGCAGGCAAACACTGTCTTCTTCTATTGCCCTCAATCTTTCCCAGCATTAGGCTCTTCTCCAGTGAGTTCTTCCTTCTCATTTGGTGGCCAAAGTACAAAGTATCTTAAATTATAAAAAAAGCTAAAATCAGGCTACCAGTCTCATCCCATCATTCCCTCGAGTGAATCTCCCAATATAGAGAAATCTTTATGCTCAGTAATTCCTGCTTTCAGAAATAGAAGATTTAAGGGTATTTACAAGAGAACCAGTCGAATAGCAACTTCTCTTAAGAGGTCACTGGTATTTTTCATCATCTCAATTCTGTCATATGCAGAATATTGGAGGAAAGATGGAACTGAGATGTGCAGTATCTTAGATTGTAGATTTTGGGGGGGGGGAAAGGGATAGATCCAGCTTCTGAATATTGAGCTGCTGTTTTGAATGATTGCTCAAGGTCTGATATGAATCTGCCTTTTAGAAGGGAGCTACAGAGGAGCAAGCAGCAGGGAAGAGCATGTTGGGGGCAAGTGAGAAGAAAGTGAAGATACTTGAACATCAGCGCAATGAGGTAAGCCAAACAAAAGATTTTTTCTTGGAATCAGAAAGAGTTTATATCAGGTGATGGCTGTTACTAAATAAACAATAGAAGTTAATAATAATAATGTTGGAAGGGACCTTGGAGGTCATCTAGTCCAACCCCCTGCTCAGGCAGGAAATCCTATACTATCTCGGAAAATGGCTGTCCAGTCTCTTCTTAAAAACTTACAGTGTTGGAGCATTCACCGCTTCTGGAGGCAGGTTGTTCCATTGGTTAATTGTTCTAACTGTCAGGAAATTTCTGCTTAGTTCTAGGTTGCTTCTCTCCTTGATTAGTTTCCATCCGTTGCTTCTTGTCCTGCCCTCAGGCGCTTTGGAAAATAGCTTGACTCCCTCTTCTTTGTGGCAGCCCCTGAGATATTGGAATGCTGCTATCATGTCCCCCCTCGTCCTTCTCTTCGTTAAACTAGACATACCCAATTCCAGCAACCGTTCCTTATATGTTTTAGCCTCCAGTCCCCTAATCATCTTTGTTGCTCTTCTCTGTACTCTTTCTAGAGTCTCAACATCTTTTTTACATCGTGGTTTACCTTCTAGTCCAGAACTATCCTCTGGATGGTTCTCCAGAATCCCAAACTGTCATGTTACCTGCTGTTTTTGTTTATTTATTATATTCCTAATCTAACCATCACCTGAGCTCCTCCTGAATGTGTCCTCTCAAGTATGCATGTACTGTAGGTAATCCCTCTTCCTGTCCAGGAAAACCTTAAGAATAGACTAAGTGTGATAACCAGCAGGTTTAGCAATAGGGACGATGCCTGAATGAGCCTATGCGGAATATAGGGCTATTGATTTAGAAAACAAAACAAAGTTACATTTCAGCCTCGTGGCTTCTTGTGTCAGAGGAGGAAGGCTGTAAGGCAGTGTGTCCAAAATAACTTGATGCATTTTTTTTTCCCCTCTAGCTATTGGAGGTGAATAAACAGTGGGACCATCATTTCCGGTCCATGAAGCAGCAGTACGAGCAAAAGGTAATGACAAAACTCCGGGACAGCTGTATCTCAGATGTTTCTGATAGTACAACAAAAGATGAATGTGGCCTTTGTCTTATCCAAATGAAAAAATACAGGAATGTTAGCTGAGTCATAAGGTCTCAACAACACTATCCGTTTGAAATCTGTTTTAAGACATTTTCTTTTATTGGCTTGAGAAGATATAAACATTTCTGAGAATTAAAAGAAAAAGAAAATAAAATTACACTTATCACAACTGCTAACTATAGACATAGAAAATGTCAATCCCATAAGCCCAGCATGCAATTTTCTGCTTTTTAAAAATCCAGTATCTTTATTTTTACCATAAACAGTAATACAAACAATATGAGATACCATCGTAAGATAACCATAGGATCTCTGCCAAAATTGCCAGAATGAAATGTTATGCATTTATTCCCCAAACTGAATGTTTGATGCGGGAATGCCATATAGTAAGAGACTGATGCTAAATAAAACTATATATTGTAAGGTATTGTTTTTGTTCATATGGGATATTTAAAATTGCATGAGGGCGTTTTGCATGTTTTTTTTTTAAGAAAAAAAATTTCCTCTTGGCAGATAACAGATCTACGGCAGAAACTTGCTGACTCCCAAAAGGCCCTAGCAGAGTTGGAGACAGAGCGGGAGCAGAAACAGAGGGATTTTGACCGCAAACTTCTCTTGGCAAAATCCAAAATTGAAGAAGAAGAGGTATAGTCCAAAATCCCACTTGGAATGTATTTACATTTTTTGCCTAAAAACAATAGTGTTTACATCAGATTTAACTCTAAATCAAATCAAATCAACCTTTATTGTCAAAGTACAACATGCATACAATGAGATTGGCTGAGCCTCCCTTCGTGCACCCCCCCGACACAATTCACAGCGTCAACAACACACAACCTTATTACACCACGTGAACTTATTGCACAACACGCTGGCCCTGCAAGTCTATCATACATGGAGTTATTTCCCATTCAGGAGTCTGACAGCCCATGGGTAGAAACTGTTCTTCAGCCTGTTGGTGTGACTGGCTATGCTTCTATATCTCCTGCCCGATGGTGTGGGTCGTCCCTGAGGATTTTCCGCACTCTTCTAAGGCAGCGGGCCCTAGCGATGTCGTCTAATGGTGCCCACCATGTTTTGTGCTGTGCTCACCACCCTCTGTAGTGTTTCTATCTGCGGCTGTCAAGCCAGCATACCACACCATAATGCATGTGAGAGGACGCTTTCTATGGTGGACCGGTAAAAGGAGGTCATCAGTCGTTGTTCCACTTTGTTCTTTCGCAAGACCCTAAGGAAGTGAAGTCTCTGTTGGGCCTTTCTGGCCACCTGGGTTGTATTGATTTTCCAGGTGAGATCTTCACTGAGGTAGACTCTAAATGGATTGACAGGCAGGTAGCATTGAAAGCATTTTTCTTTTATTCCTGCTTTCGGTTCTTCTGTAGTAACTCCCTGTGAGAATGAGTCTTAAAACTTTAAAAATATCAAGGTGCAAATTAAGAAAATTGACATTAACAAAATATTATTGGTAGAAAGTGGTGACAGAACCAGTGATTTCCATGTCTTCTACAGGTAGGCCTTGACTTACAACCCTTTGCTTAGTGACTATTAAGTGCCTCAAGTTACAACAGCACTGAAAACAGTGATGTATGATTGTTTTTCACACTTAACACTGTTGCAGCATCCCTGTGGCCACATGATCAAAATTCAGACACTTGGCAACTGGCATGTACTTATGACAGTTGCAGTGTCCTGAGGTCATGTGATCACATTTTGCGACCTTCTGACAAGCCAAGTCAGTGGAGAAGCCAGATGCATTTAACAACTGTGTTACTAACTTAACAACTGCGGTGATTTACTTACCATCTGTGACAAGAAAGGTCGTAAAAGGGAGCAAAACTCACTTAACAAAGTTTTGGGCTCTGTAGTGGTCGTAAGTCGAGGACTACCTGTATAGACAGACCTCAGTTCATTAGGCCTTGTAGGCAGGAGCAACAACAGAAAGAATTGGGAAAGGCTAGCCCTCTAGTGGATGAAAGGGGGTTTAGTAGTTTAAATTCTATGGTGGTGTAACTACAAAAAATCCACGTGAGCTCTTTTACTTTTGAATTTGATTTCTGAATGTTCTCATGTTCACGTTCTCTGGAAGGTGCTTTGCTCTGTTGAGAATCTTCTCTCTTTCTTTCCATCAGGGTTCACATTGCTATGTGCGTTCTGGACACCACAGAACAAATGAGACAGAATACCTTTTTTTTTTTTTTTTTTTTTAGCAGTTAGGAGTTTTTCTGTGGGAGGGAGATATTTGAGAATGACCGTTACGACAGCCAGTTGCATTTGACGGGCTTCAAAACTTCATGGGCTTTTTTGTATAAACGGACATGCTGTTGAAGGTAGACCCTGTCCATGGCCTCTTATTCCCTCTCGTTTCTTCTGAGGTGGCTTTCAGGCAGGAAAGGGGATTCATTGTTCCACACCTGATGGCAATGGGGTGTTTCTCCTTTTATATACCTTCCTCTCCCTCCCTTCCACTTTATTCTTTTTTTCCCCCAAGGCAGAAAAAAAGAGTCTCAGCGGGGAGGTGAAGGACCTCAAGCACAAGGTGAAGTTTCTTCAGGATCAGTTGGTGCCAGTCACAAGGCAAAGAGAGTACCAGGAGAAGGAGATTCTCCGACTAAATAAGGTGGGTATACCTTGTTAAAGAATTGAGAGGATTTGTGCCTGGTTCCACTCCTGCTTTTTTTTAGCTGTGTGAATCTTTTCCCCCAGATGATGGTCTTTCCCAGGCAGTAGAATCATTCTATATCTGTTGCCATTGCTGCAAAGAACACATGTTATGCCAGGGAAGGTTTCTTACAGTCCCTTTGTCTTCCCCTCAGGCCCTAGAAGAGGCTCTGAACTTCCAAGCACCTCCTCATTCCCCCTCAGCCTTCAAAAACGATCCTAGCCCAAGTCTTCGGCACCAGGAAGTGATGACCCAGAACGAGCTTCTGAAACAACAAGTAGGCATCCAAAGTTTGTGATTCCCTTAAGAACCGTGGCAAAAAAAGAGGTCATAAAATCAGATGCGGCTCATTTAACAAGTGTCCTGCTTGGCAATGGAAATTCTGGTTCCAGTTGAGGTTATAAGTCAAGGACTCTATGTATTAATATTGTACTAGTTTCACTGGTGGATCTCATTAATTGATTATTAGTATCAGAAATAATATTGTTAATTCTTTAAGTGCCATTTTGAAAAGTTGTGTGTGTTCGTATCAGTTGGAAAGCATGTTGAAAACATTTTATCTTTAAAGGTTTTTTTTAGAATTAATGAGAGGCAGTTATTGTTGTATTCACAGCACTCCTATCCTATCCTACCCTACCCTACCCTACCCCACCTCACCTCACCTCATCTTATCTTATCTTATCTTATCATCTTACCTTACCTTACCTTACCTTACCTTACCTTACCTTACCTTACCTTATCTTATCTTATCTTATTTTATCTTATCTTATCTTAGGAAAATAGACTAAAAATGGATTAAACCAGAACAGAAAGTGTTGTGTAAATTTAGGAAGGAATTTCCTTTGTCACATGACCCCATGCTTTATAAAATTTATGGCACTGGTTTTGAATTTAGGTTTCTGTGTGTTGTGTTTTCCTGACATCAGTGCTGAAAGAAGTAGAACATACATTTGGGGGCGCAAGTGTCTGATCCTAGGATTTAAGTCCCTCTTTTTCTGTCAGGTGAAGATTTTTGAGGAGGATTTCCAGCGGGAACGGAGTGACAGGGAAAGGATGAATGAAGAAAAAGAGGAACTGAAGAAGCAGCTAGAAAAACTTCAGAAGCAGCTGACCCTCACTAATAACCAGGTAGGAAACCAAAAGAATCATTCTGAGTTTGGAAGCTCTGGTGATCTAAATTTAATCTCTTCCTTGGAATTTCTTGAAGGTGGACTCTAAAGAAGAGATGAAATCATTCTAGATCATTGGCCTTGATTCATGCAAAACACTACCGAGTATTAGGTAGTCTGAACTTAATGCCTTGTGTTTTTGTTACTGTGATATGCTTACCAAAATCTCTAGGTAACCAAGACATGGTCTTCTGAGCAATTACTAGTTGTTTTTGGTCTCTTCCCCCATTTCTTGATCCTTTCAGGCATTCTGCCCTTCCCTCTTTATATTTTCACTTGCTCCCTATTCCCAACTAATCCTAGCCACAATTTTTGGAAGTTTATGGATAGGCTTGCCTATCCATATCCTCTCCCAATATCCTTCTCCTGTGTAATAGCTGCCCCCTCATAGACAAATGCATCACACAAGTTATTATTGTCAGATTATATAGTTCCCTTCTGCCACTTGTTTTATTCCTAAAAAATACAAAAAAAAACCCCATGCATGCTTAGGTAGCTTTTTAAAAAGAGATTTTAATGGAATTAAAGAAGGCAGGTCAGTGAGTAGAGATAAAGGTGTTTAAATACTTAAGTTTTAAAGCACTTGAATCCATTAGACTTTGTAGTCACTGAATGATTCTTCTTTTGAGTGCCCAGTACAGTTTCATGTGTTCTTATACTGGTCTTGTCTCTTGGGTTACCATCCAACTTCACTTGCTCCCTATGAAAATATTCTCCCTATCTTCCAAAAAGTATAGAATAAAAATAACTCTGTCATTGAGTTAATGATCCACAATGGGCATCCAGAATCTAGTGTGGCTAAACTGTAGATTTGAGTAGAATATGTCTATTGGTCTGCTTGTTCTCAGTACTAGAATGTAATGCATACGGAAGTCTATATTCTTTTTTCCATTTGTGCTCTTTTTCACAACAGCTGCGAATTGTTAAAGAAGACTACCACAAAGAGAAGGAAGAAAAGGATAAGTTTAAGAAACTGCTTAAACAGCACAAGCAGGTATGGAATACTCTACTATGGAAATGCAAATTCCAGTTGGCTTACTATTATGGCTTCCCAATACTGAATATATGGCATAGTTGCTTAATTTTTGGCACTAGAAAGAAAATTGGGAGATTAACTTCAACATGTGGCTCAGATTTAATTTGTTTTTGTACATTTTGATAACTTCCTTATAGCCAATTCATGTTAGGAATGGTCTGTCAGTTCTGCATACTGCATTTTAGTAAAATCATATCTGAAGTCAGTCTAGGCTGAACTAAAGACACCTTCCCTAACTTATCCACAGAAATGTGAACCTCAGTTTTCAGAATCGTCCAGTTTCTCTGGCCATTGCTAAAATTCTAGGATTTGAAGTCCACACATTTGGAGAGTGTCCTGATTTAAAAAGTTCTTGAATGTTTGTTTTATATGCTAAGGTTGTGCGATTTAAATTACAGCCAAGATCAGGTCTAATTTGTTTTTCTTGTCTTGTTTTTGTCCTATGGCACTGTGAGAGAACTCTCCCCCCCCCCACCTCTCAATATCCGTCTGTCTATCATCCGTCAATAGAAGGGTGTGCATATTTATACGCTGCCTATTTTATTTTGTCTTCCTTATCCTAGGAATAGATTGCACAAGGGGAAATAATGTTTTTTTAGTTGCTTTTAAAAAGGGATAAAAAGCCACAGGCCAAGCCAAAACAATTAAGTTGATTAGGTTGATAAATCATTAACCTTTATAAACTAGGATTTCCACAAAGGTCCTTCATTTTCAACTTTCTGCTTTCTCTCTTGCAGCATTCGGGTGACAGACTGCATCCCGAACCACAGCCAGGACAAATTACCCCAATCTGCCCCATGTACCAGTTTCAGTGCTCTCCTCCAGTCCAACCACATGCTTATCATGCTTTTGAGGACTGGCAGCAGATCCGCTACCCACCCCCAGCGGTGGCAAATGAGCATCCTCCAATTCAGAATTATCATCGTTTCCCACCTGTGAGTTAATAAAATGTGAAATATCAGAGTAAAGAACTAGAAGCAATAAGAACAGCATGCAATTGCCAGCCATTTTCTTCTATCCAAAAATATAGAATTGGAATTCTCAGGTTCTCTGCCAAAATTTGTGTAGAGGAAACACAAGAATGTAAACTTTCTTATTCAATAACTGATGCTTTCTTCTATTTGCTGCTATTATGAAGAATTGTGAAGTTTCTAGTAGAAAATGTACAGCTGGGAAGTTTCAGTTCAAATTGTTATGAGATTGAAATGCTCCTTTTCTGGTTTAAAATGCCCCATCTTTCAGCATAAAGCAATTGTCTGAAGTGTATTTTTGAGGTGTGATGGCTAATAACACCACTTTTTTTTGGAGTAGTACCATAAAATTATATATCAATGGAAAGATAATTTAATCAAGAATGTAATCCAACATTGTTTTTTCAATTATCTGTACTATATTCTATGAAAGGTTATAGCCAAATAACCAGAAAAAGGAAGCACAACTTGCTTAGATTGATATCAGGTAGCTTTCCTTCATCTGATTGTAGCCAATGAGCATGAGTGTTTAGAGAGCCAATCAACTGTCATCTTGTTTTGGCAATGAGCCAATCAGATCACAGTAGGATTCAGTTATTGATGTCATGCATTGAAGCTGAGAGGAGGACATTTGTCAGTGTGTTATGTGATCGCTGTCAAGTTGGTTGGGGTTTTTTTTCTTTCATTTAGTGAGCTTGTAAAACATAATAAAATTAAAGTAATGGTGCAAAGAGTTGACTAGTTGCCCAGAAAGCGATGTAAAATAGTATTATTAAGTGAACAAGGCTACAGTTGTAAAGAAATTAGAAGAAAAATTGGTGGAAACTTAACCAAAGGTGGCATTTCTATTGTACACCTTTCCCAAAAGGTTTCCACAATTTCGGCCACTACTGTATTTGTCCATTTTTGCTGACATTCAGTCCTTCCAGCAAGCACAAAACAGCGAATTTCACAAAGGTGATTTTTTCAAGAGGCAACTGGACTTTCTTATTTTTCTTTGAAAATGGTTCGCTTCTCATCCAAGAAGCTTCTTCAGCTCTGATTGTATGATGGGGAATGGAAAGATTTATATTCCTTGCAGACAACTGGCCATTTGCATTCTTTTAGAGAGTCATTGAGGTTACTTGTAAGTTTGTCTGTGTCCTCAGGGTCACCTGAATAGTGCAAATGTGTGTGGCTGCAGGATGTTTTCTGCCCAGGGTCTCTTCACTGTTGAACACAGGCACAGGCTGTTGGGGATGAGTCTGTCTTATTTGCATCTCAAACTGAAGCTCAAATGGTTCCTGTAGTCTGCAATTTTTCTGGAAATCCATTCATACTCCTGCACCACTTGAAGGGTGTTCATCCCAAAGCTCATAGCTAAATGACTATGGAGATTCAACGACTCTCTAAAAGAATGCAAATGACCAGCTGTCTGCAAGGAATATAAATCCTTCCATTCCCCACCATCCAGTCAGAGCTGAAGAAGCTTCTTGGATGAGAAGTGAAACGTCTTCAAAAACAAGAAAGTCCAGTTGCCTCCTGAAAAAGCGCCTTTAGGACAACCATGACCTGAATGACTCAGAATCTCCATAGACAGCCAATTTCATATGTGAAATGAATGTTTTTCATAATAATAGTAATAGTAATAATAATAATAATAATAGTTGGAAGGGACCTTGGAGGTCATCTAGTCCAACCCCCTGCTCAGGCAGTAAACCCTACACCATTTCATTCATGCTTGAAATCATGCTCAAAAGAACAGTGGGACGTTGTGCAGTGGGGGGTTGAACTTGAAAAATTCAAATTGAAACGTATTACAGCTAGTTGTCAACTTATGGCCTGGAAGTAGAGTTGTAAGTCGACAGTCATTAAATGGGTCACCACATGACTGTACTTGATTTTATGACTTTATAACTGGCCATTTTTATAGCAGTCATTCAGAAAATGTTGTGGTCATAAAGCAAACCCATTTTAAACAATTGGCGCTCCCCCCCCCGAAGCACCAGAAAGGAAACACCAGAAACCAGCAAAGTAAGCACCAGAAACCAGTAAAATAAACACTAGAAATCAGTAAAGTAAACATCAGAAACCAGCAAAACCCTATGAAAATTACGGTCATGACTGTGGGATGCTGCAAACAGCTGTAAACTTGAGCCAGTTGCTAAGCACCAAAAATGTGATCATATAACCATGGGGAAGGGAAGGGGGTTGGGACTATCAGAACTTCAAAAATGGATCATAAGTAGCTCTGTGAAGTTATGTTGTAACTTCGAAAGATTGCTAGTCATTAAGTGAGGACTACCTATACACACACCTACTCTATAGTATTGTATTGTATTTTTTTATTTTTCTTTGTTTCTTATAGCCAGATTATACCTGGTATCCACAATGTGTTATAGCACACAATCAGAACACACAAGGAGGGGATGGAGTGAAACAGTTTCCCAAGGAATCTGGTAAGAGCTTTCTAATTCTTTCAGGACGTAACTAGAATATCTTTTTCAGTACTGCTGTTCCTAGCTCTCATTTTTAGGATCAATTTGCTTGTTAATTGATTCACATGGGAAATTTTGGCATGACCATGATTTGTGAATCATTTGGAGAGTCTTCGTGACTTCATTAAATGAGATCATTATCAGTCTGTCTTTCCGATGTTTCCTTGATTTGATCTCAGGGTGCTCCTAATGCATTCTAGTTTGGTTGGGTGTTTAAATCTGGAGAGAGGAGAGTCATAGCTTGCAATTCTGAGTATATACTTTTCTGCTCTTCTGCAGTGACAGTGAATTCTTTCATGTTTGCTTTCACATACACAGAAAGGCCTTCAAAATTTTCTGAATGTCAATTATTGTATATCAGTCAGGACATTTGAATTCCAAAGCTGGCTTTGGAAATGAGAGTGCTTAATACTGGTGAGGATCCATTTCACCTGGAATGCTAGCAAGTCTTGGCTAGGAGAAATAGGGTCTTGGTAACATAGCTAGTCCTCAACAGGTAGTCCTTGGCCACAGTTGAGCCCAAAATTTCTGTTGTTAAGTAGGCATTTGTTAAATGAGTTTTGCCCCATTTTATGACATTTCTTGCCACAGTTGTTAAGTGAATCTGGTTTCCCCATTGACTTTGCTTGTCAGAAGGTCACCAAAGTTGACCACATAGCCACAGGACACTGAAACTGTCATAAATGAAGCAGTTGCCAAGGATCTGAATTTTGATCATGCGATCATGGGGAGGATGCCAAGGCCACAATTGTGAAAAATAGTCATAGGTCACTTTATTCAGTGCCCTTGTAACTTTGAACCGTCACTAAATGAATAGTCGTAAGTCGAGGACTACCTGTACAAGATTTGAAAACTATTTTAATACATATGTTTGCTTTTCAGACCCTACAGGTCTCGGGTTACCTAAAGCTCAAAAACCCGTTTAACTTTGTGGTGATATGTGTAAGCTGCAGAAGCAAGACAGCCTTCATGTGTTAATCCAGCTCAACTCCTTTACTTCTGGGATATTGGTCACATTTATTTGTGCATAAAAAGGTTCCACGCCACTTGGATGTTTGAGATAATAAGTAGGATTTTCTCTGCTACATTCAAGGATTCAGCTGCAAGAGAACAACTGTCAAGCCCCAGCAATGAAGACTAGGAATTCTGGATTAACAGGACCTATGTTTAGCTGATTCTCTTACAGTCGGGCAGCTGTATATCTAGGATGTGGCAATTTTACATTTACTGGTAGAGGAAGCAGGCTTTGGGCAGGACAGCAGTCCTTTACTAGTAATTAATGCCTGTATAAGTTCAGGATTCAGTAGTTGCCCAAGGACAAAGAAATAATGTATAGGAATAAAAATGAAAGATACTTTTACAAAATGAAATTCAATGGTGAAAAAAGCAAGGTTCTACATTTAGGCAAGAAAAACCAAATGCACAAGTACAGCATAGGTGGCACCATGCTCAATAGTAGTAACTGTGAGAGGGACCTCGGAGTCCTAGTAGACAATCACTTAAATATGAGCCAGCAGTGTGCTGCAGCTGCCAAAAAGGCCAACACAGTGCTAGGCTGCATTAACAGAGGGATAGAATCAAGATCACGTGAAGTATTAATACCACTCTTCAATGCCTTGGTAAGGCCACACTTGGAATACTGCATCCAGTTTTGGTCACCACGATGTAAAAAAGATGTTGAGACTCTAGAAAGAGTACAGAGAAGAGCAACAAAGATGATTAGGGGACTGGAGGCTAAAACATATAAGGAACGGTTGCTAGAATTGGGTATGTCTAGTTTAACGAAGAGAAGGACAAGGGGGGACATGATAGCAGTATTCCAATATCTCAGGGGCTGCCATAAAGAAGAGGGAATTAAGCTATTTTCCAAAGCACCTGAAGGCAGGACAAGAAGCAACGGGTGGAAACTAATCAAGGAGAGAAGCAACCTAGAACTAAGGAGAAACTTCCTGACAGTGAGAACAATTAATCAGTGGAACACCTTGCCTCCAGAAGCAGTAAATGCTCCAACACTGGAAGTTTTTAAGAAGAGACTGGACAGCCATTTGTCCGAAATGGTGTAGGGTTTCCTGCCCGAGCAGGGGGTTGGACTAGATGACCTCCAAGGTCCCTTCCAACTTTACTACTATTACTATTACTATACTATATATATATATATATATATATATATATATATATATATATATATATATATATATATATATATATATATATTCACATGCACATTAAAACTTGTAGTTGTCAATAAATGTTTTAACCCCAGTGAATGTCAATTTGAGTTGAAAACTGTCTAATACTGTTTTAATTACCCCTCTACCTTACCCCGTAAAATATGGCAGCCTTTTTTGCTCTCTCTTAGTTGGAATAATATACCAGTTCATCATTGCATGCATATTGCTTAGTAGAATTATATCTGTTTATTTAAACTGCTCAGTGGAAAAAGACTCCAGATTTCACTTTCCTGCTTCTGTTTCATCCCATTCCTAGTTACTATTGAACCTAACTGGTGGACTAGATAGATTTGTTTCCTGATATAACAATTCAGTCCTGATTTCCTTTCGTTGGCGAAAGGATATCTTTGGCCTTCCCACGACAGATATGAAAAATTGTCTTTTTTTTTCTCAAACAGATTACTGATCCCTTGGAGCAATGTTATAAAATGCTGAACCAGCCAAGCATTTTTCAAAGTGTGTAGCACTGGAAGTGACCTAAATTGCTTGTTACATGCTCCTGTAAAACATGGAATGTATATGCTCATTTGAAAATTGGATTCACATTCACTAGTAAGGACGTAATTGAGAAATAACTGAAAAATAATTTTCTTTCTCAAATAAAGGAAAGGAAAAATAATTTCAGAATGTTCACAGCGCAAAGAAAAAGGCAGTGTTTGAAGAACCTGCAAAACCTCTTTTTTTAAAAAAAACAAACCATTTTCACTGAGTTTACTGTCTGTCATAGATCTTTCAATTATTATAGAATAACTTTTAGGAAGATGTGAAAGAAGTGATATAATAGGATGTTTGGTCCGTCTACAATCTCTAAATGGAGACCTCTTTACGAAACATTTTGAGAAATTCTAAGTATAAGCTGCCACTGTATTTATGCAGGCCAATATTTTACTAGCTATATTCTGGTTTCAAAAAAGCTTTTGAAAAATTGTGCAAAATTATCTTCATTATGTTCAGTTTAATAAAATGCAAGTTTTCCTGGGCTGCGCCTGGAGTTCTGTATCTGAGTTTTGCTCTCTTACGAAATAATGTGTTTGTAATGTGCTTGTTTTTATTGCCTGCCTTTCAGATTGCTACAAAAGGAAATAGAGGTATGTGGTATGTCCCCAAACAGCTCCCTGCAATGTTGGTAAAGGTGGGAAAAAAGTGTTCACAAAGGGCTGGATCTTTTCTTTGAATCTGGATATTATGAGAATAAATCCAGGGAAAAGCATTGCTGCCCTTTCTACCCTTGCGAATTCATGCTTGAAATCATGGAGAATATATTTAGCATATTATAGTGTGTCTATCACGTATGTGCTTTTGGTGCATGGCATCCTGGCTCCAACATTGTGAGCTATAAACCTAGAAATCCTCTATGCAACTCTGCAAACATGAGTGCTAACAGATCTGAGCTATCAGAATCCACAAAAAAAAAAAAAAAAAAAAAACCCCTCTGGAAGGCAGGGGAAAAAATGCAGCTGACAATTACATTTTTGACGTCATTTAGTGGGCATCCAGAGTCCTGCAGCCCATGTATAGCAGTGTTTTTCAGCTTCTGCCATTGAATATGGAATTAACAGCCACCTATATATCTTATATATCTGTGTGAAAGTTGGTGCGTAACTGTGCACACACGGCCTTTCCAAGAAGCAATGTGATATATCTGATATGTTCAAACTTAAAATCTTGGTTCTTTCATAATACGAAAGTGGTTGCATGATGAAAGTAGTCAAATGGAGTTTTGGTCTGTATTGAAAGAGAGTCTCTCACAACAGAAGTGCATTGAGAATTTGCTGTTTTTATTAGACAGTGTTCTTAGAAGGTGTGGTGGAGGTTAGGCTGGGATCTTGGGACTAAAAGGAAGAAATACATCTCTGCAAAGATTGTAGTGAAGTAGCTGAATGCACTAAAGAACTACTCCACTGCCTTGCAGTCTTAGGCCAGGTCCCACTCGCAAGGAGTTTTCAGACCTAACCGTCATTCGGATGCATTTTCCTTGCCTCGAAATCCTTTGTCCCATCTTTCCTCCACTGTCAGAAAGAGAGTCAGTTTGAGAAATTCCAGTCCATAAATTCTCTAGATGAGGCTCTCTAGTCTACATTTTGAGCAAGGGGAGGTAAACTGTACTTTATCCAGAGATGCCAAAAGTATTAATTCCATCTACATTAGAGGGCTCAGCTTATTTTCAGTAGAACTGTATGTAACCCAGATGGTTAGTAAGGATCCTAGAAAGGGCTCAATGGGTGCACTGTGGATGCAATTTCTGTCTCTTAACAGACAAAGACTTACAACAAATCTGCAGCCTTTAAGGTGCCATAGGAGACTCTTGGTTATGTGCCTGAGTTCTGATTATTATTTTTTTTTTTGCTAAAATCAAAATAACATAGCAATTTAAAACAACAAAATTAAGTGGGAAACCCTTAATGAACATAGTACTTAATGTTCATCCAATGTTAGAAATGAGTTTAAATTGCTAAAAATAAACTAGATTGACTTTAATACTGTGACCCACAATGGGCCAATGTATAGCTTGTACTTTTAAAAAAAAAATCTTAATTTTGTTGCTTTTAAAATTTGTACAGTATATTCTGCATCAATATGTTAATAATGAAAGTGAGGAATAGTCTTCACTTTTCTTTAGTACCATAATATGCTAGAGATGCAAAACCCAAAGATTATCTTGGTCTTTTTTACTCATGCTCAAGTAACATGTTTAAAGCAGGATCAGAAGTTACTAAAATGGTTTTTCAATACATGCTGGTTCCACCCTATGGAAATTAAAGCTATCATTGAGTAAACTGAGATCGACATGCTTTTATAAACTTATGCTTGAAAACATGTTAAGATTAAGAATTTTGATATGGATCTTTAGCAATATTAGTATGTAAATTGGCACCCTGTAAGGTTAATTCTATCTTAACCTTATTTTACCTTTGAATAAAGGAAATTTGGATGTTTGGTGGTTTGACAAAAGAAAATGAATATGTCTGGATATGTCTACAGCCTGCCTCCCCTCCCTAAATCCATTTTCATTCGTACAGAGTCTATCCGTTTTTCTTCATGTATCTTATAATATCATTCTTTACACTGGAAACATTTGTCCGTTGAAACCACCTCATCACGGGCTTTCCTTGAGGATTCACCAAAAATTTCTCAAAGTTCCACTTAATGTCATGGATCTTCATAGGTGACCAGAAGAGTTTTGCAGGGTCACCAAAACTTTCCACAACTGGTGGACAGGAGTTCTACCAGGAAAAAAAAGTTTATATTTTGTTAAGTGTTTCTAGAATTAGAATTGTAACTTTTTTTCATCTTTAATCTAATGGCCGAGGGATGGTAGCATGGAGAGAGAAATTTAGGAAACTGGGAACAAAACCTACAAGAAAGCATACTTTATTCCAATGACATTTGAATCTTCTAAGAGGCTTATAGTCAATGTCTATTATGAAGTTACCAATATAGGAGAATAATTGTAGCTCTGGGTTGAAATGAGGAGGCCTTGATGCTCTCCGAGCTTAATAATAATAATAATAATAATAATAATAATAATAATAATAAAGTTGGAAGGGACCTTGGAGGTCATCGAATCCAACCCCCTGCTCAGGCAGGAACCCTACACCTAAACTAGGCAACATCCATCAGAGATGGTACCTAGTTTGGGTAATGAAATGTCTGCAAGAAAACAACCAAGCTCAGAGACCACCAACAACCCCTTATGATGAAGTTATATATTCTATTCCAAGCTGATTTGCTGTAGTGTTATAGAATGATCCTTGAAATCCAGTTATCCCTCTCTTTCTAAGCAATTCTATCTTGGTTTTGGTTTGCATAAATAACATGTTATGTTTTGGATTCTACCTTGCTCTGTCATGAATAACATTTTCTGCTGTACTGAGGCTTCCAATTAACACAAGGGTGAAAGGTCATTTTTGCTGATTTTCTGCAGCTCTCCAGTACCATAACACTCAGAAGATTTTCCATCGCTCCAAAGCAAAATTTTCAGAAGAAATAAATAAAAATATTGAGAAAATTCTAACACCCCCCCCCCACACGTGCCTGCAGAAACATTGCATAAGTAGGTGAAATTTTTAAGATTGAGGCATTAGATGTTTGTCCTTAATATCCTGCA